GGAGCCGAGAGAGAGGTGTAGATGCGGTCCAGGCGGGCAACCCCACGGACTTCTCCCTGGAACACATCACGCCGTGTTGGATCTGGTTGGAAAAGCTCAGCCCAAGACCCACACATAGACTGAAAAGCATCAGTGTGTTCCCTATCCCCTGCTAACCACGTGCCGTCAGTCCGAAACCGCCCCCCCTCAACCTCCATAAAGTTCCAACCCCCAGCAATCAAGCACATGGCGCGCGCAGCCAATGGGAGGAAAACCTGAATCACCCACAGGCACCTGCGACACATCGCAACTGGATCAGAAGTATTCGGCATGTGCACATTGACAATCACTAAATCCCCACTACGTCCCTTCAGGTGCGAGGCGAGAACACGGCCAACAATCAACCGAAACGGAGTGATCGATTCGAACTGCGAAGCCAGCTTACTCGATATGACAGTAACCACACCGCCCCCAGCCCTCGGATCGATCATCGAATGGTGAACAATTGCACTACGACAACGGTCATCACGCTGTAACATCTCCACATAAGACACCGTGCCATGAGTCTCCTGTAAGCACACAGCGTCAAACCTGCCAACAAGACCATACATCTGCTTGCAACGCCGAGCTGCCAGTGGAGACGAAGTAGAGTACGAAAAGAAGGGAGCACGGGCATTCCAAGAGCACAATGTAAGCGCAGAAGAGGGAGCAAACACCCCGTTCGCTCCAGAGGGCGGGTCACCAGGGGTAAAAGGTCCTCCTGAATTCAGATTAAAACACTGGTTGGCTGGCTGAGCACAATCCTGGCTGGTCGGCACACGGGCCCGACGCTGACCCCCGACAGGCCCGCCATCCCAGGGAGGGCCCGAACCACCAGGGACCCGACAAAAAAGACCAGGCAGCGCACTGGGAATCCCGAGGCGGGGAGCTCCAGGACAGCTGGGGCCATCACGCAAAGGGCCGAATCTGACCAAAAAGCGTGACAATGCATGCAGCGTGCTCACCCACTCCGAACGTTCCGAGGGCCTCAGGGATCAGAACGAGTTCGGGGCGACCGCGCTCCAGGATCGTGACCTTCGCAAGAATCACAGGGTGGGTAGCCGTAGTGGGACCGCATATCTGACCGCCAAGACCGCTGCTGCCCACCTGGAAACCTTTCTCCCCCAAGACCTTCCCGATGATCGCTCGAGTCTGTCCCAAGTAGTAGAACAACTTACGGCTAGCTGGGGGCAAGTCACGACGCGCGCGGAGTTACCAGCCCTGGTTATCAATCGGTTCCTTGTATACAGTCTTACCAATGGTATGGCTCTCACCGAAGAACGCCGTGCACGACAAGGTACTGGGGAAGTCAAGGGTCACCTTCCGCGTGAGGGAGTATGCTCGAACGATCGGTCCTTCACCTGCTGGACTACACGCGGCGACAATCGGGGCCACCGCTTCCTTGAGCGACGCCTCCAGCAGGGGCTTCTCGAAACCTAGAACAATCAGACGAGTAGCACTGGCTTGGTCGGGGCCCGACGTCCTCAACCTCGCCCGACGCCCTCCTTCCCCATCACCTCCCACGAGCTCGAACTCCGAATCGGCACGAGTCGACGAACCTGCTGAGAGCTTCTGCTGTAGCTCTTGCATCTGAACGTCGATATTTGCCACTACTGCCGCCAACTTCGCATCTGTGTCAATCGAGACCTGGTGGATCGCTGCATCCTGGGATTTCTTACTCTCTGCCCAACGAGCCTCCGAGCGACGATTCATCTCCGCGAACTCCTCCTGCATGCGATCGAAGTTGGACCCCATCACTGTCATCTGCTGGCGAAACAACACTCTGTTTTGTGCGAGGTGAAACCCTCTTTCACAATCACCGTCAAGGCGCTGAGCTGCTCTGCCACCGCGGTTTGTACCTGGGGCGCGGGCGGTGGCGCGGGCGGCAGCACACCCCCCAGGAGGGGGAATCGGCACAGGCAGTGCTGGCAGGCCGTTCGCAGCGGCTGTGCCAGGAGCGACATCCGCCATGGCTGGAGAGCGAGGGGCAGAGGGCGGGCGGGCGGCCGTCGGCCGAGGCGCGCCCGGCCCGAGGGAGAGGGAGCAGGAAGACCCGAGGAGCGGGTCGGGGGGAGCCAGGCCGAGCGGGTCGCGCAGACCACCCTGAGCCGATCCGGCTTGAGCCAAAATGGCTTGAGCCAAAATGGCTACGGAAGGAGGACGAGGAAGAGGAGGAGGAGGAGGAGGAGGAGGAGGAGGAGCACGAGGAGCAGGACGAAGAGGAGGAGGAGGAGGAGGAGGAGGAGGAGGAGGAGGAGGTTAAGGAGGAGGAATGAAGGAGGAGGAAATGGAGGAGGAGGATAGGAAGGAGAGGAGAGGAGGAGGAGGTGAGGGAGGGGGAGGGGATGGTAGGGGAGGGAGGGAAGGGAGGGAGGGATGGAGGGAGAGGGATGGATGGATGGAGTGGAGGGAGAGGAGGAAGTGAGGAGGAGTAGGAGGAGGAAGAGGAAAAGGGGGAAGGAGGGGAAGAAGGAGGAGGGAGGGAGGGAGGGGGGGGAGGGAGGGAAGGGAGGGAGGGATGAGGAGCGGAAGGAGGAGGAGGGGAGGAGGAGGAGGAAGAGGAGGAGGATGAAGGTCTGAGGAGGGGATGGAGGAGGACGGAGGGTAGGGAGATACGGAGGGGGAGGGAGGGAGGGAGGGAGGGAGGGGGGGGGGGGAGGAGGAAAGAGGAGGAATGAGGATGGGAGAGGAGGAGGTGATGAGGAGGCGAGAGGAGAGGAGGAGAGGGGCGGAGGAGGCGGATGAGCTGACGTATGAGGAATCTGTGAGGAGTATGCTGATGAAGGAGACGTATGGAGGATGACGACGAGGAGAGGAGGAAGAGGAGGAGGAGGAGGAGGAGGAGCACGAGGAGCAGGACGAAGAGGAGGAGGAGGAGGAGGAGGAGCACAGAGCGGCGGAGCTCACGAAACGGCAGACGACCCACAGGTGCGGGTGGAAGAGGGCCCTGTACCGAGCCAAAACATCTGCGCGGGCGTCTGGAACCCTTCTGCCGGTGCCGCCAGCCTGGCCCTCGACCACCTGGCCCCAACGCCGCGATCGTTTCACAACGTCGACCACCAGATGTCTCGACCCGTTCCCAGGAGGGTGAGTTCTGTCCCGGATCCGCTCTTGATTGACCTGGGGCCCAAAGATTGTCCCCGAGGCCGCACATGCAGGAAGAACACCAACATTCAAAACAACGAAATCCACCCGACATCTCGTTTCCTGACAACTGTCAGCCGCTTTCCACGGACTCGTTTAGACCCGAATTTCGGAGGGCATCGATCCGTGGCAGCGAGGCGCTTCCTGGTTCGAAAGCTGGACCCCCGAAGTCGCAAACCCTTCCCCTGGACCAGCGTCTCATTCTGGGTCGACTCGGGATCGCCAAAAAATATTGCGTCTTGGCCGCACATGCGCCCGGCAAGGACCTTCGGAGGCCGAAAACTGACAAGCAGAGCCTTCCGCCGAGACTCTTCTCACGACACGAGGGGGTGATCGAGAGTGGGAGGCCGCGCGCATTGGGTCCGAGCAAGAGGGCGCCGGAGGATAACCCCCCCTAGCCGAGACATCACTGACGCATCGCCGATGCATTGGCGACGTCCACGATGTTTTGACTCGCGGACAGAACGGCGAAACGGCGCGGCCGCCAGCGCCCCAGCAAGGTGCCGACTTAGTCGGGCACCGTTGGCAGCTGCGCGATGCGGCGCGCAGCCAAGGAGGCGAATTCTGCCTCGCTGCCCCCGGCGCAGCGCAGGCCCCCCAGGAGGAGCAGAGCCTGCCCACGCGCAGGCGGTCCTGCCACCCCAGGCACGCGCCGCCCATCATGGCCGCCGTCCACGGTGCACCAGGGACGCAAAACAAATTACTCCGAGTTTCTTAGTAAGCGCCGGGGGTGCGTCACCCCCGCCGGCGGCCCCACATCGACCCCCGTCGCGGGCAGCCACCGCGCGCCGAAGGCACTCCGACCCCCGTCGCGGCGCGACGACGAGGCGAGGTTGACCCCCGTCGGGGGGGGGGGATCGTCCCCCCCCCCCACGCCGATTAAGAAACCCAGAGCAGGGCGCAGAGGCCGCCACCTGCAGGAGGGGCGGCAGCCTCTGGGCCCGCGGGAGGCATTAGGCCCCACCTCGAGCCGCATCGCCGAGGCGTCGGCAGGGCAGCGCGACTCTCCGACCACGGAGGCGCGCCGCCACCCCCCCCCCGCCACGCCACCCCCCCCGTGGAAACGGACATCCGACGATGCGATGCCGGCAGTCCGCGGCCCCGGAGGCGTGGCGGCGCGCAGAGGGGGGGAGGGGGAGGGGGGAAGGCTTCTTGGGAGGAGGCCACTTCTCAGAAGGCGCCAGCCTTCCGTCGACAGACAAGGCCCGCGCCTGCTGCGAAGCAGGGGTGCTTCTACGAAGCCTGCCCTCCCTCCCCCCACTCGGCGGTGGACTGACCTCCCTTTAGTAAACCTCCCTTGAGCGAAAACGGCCTAGGGCCGAAACCGACGGACCTGGACCCGCACAAATGACGGCCGCGACGCCCTCTCGCGAACCGAAAACGGCCAATTCGCTAATCGACGTGTCAGGGTAGGTCTGTCCACCTCCGACCGACCTTTTCCTCCTCGGGAGCACCTCTTCGTCCCGGCTCCTTCTGTTTTCACCGCCCTGGGGCTCGAGGACGGGCCCCAGGAGTCGACCTCGAGGAGACAACGGCGGTGGACCAAAACGTATAACCCTCGGTGGAGCCCTGTGGGGGAGCAGGGGACGGTTCCAATGCCGCCACTCCCTGGACCTCCCCCGGGATGGCTTCCGACCAGGATCACCAGGAGAATCCAGCCGTGGTGCCGAGGGATCTCCAGAGAGAGCAGCGGCATCGGCAACTTCGCTGCCTGGAACTCTCCCTGGCTGCGTTCTGACCAGAAGGACGACCGAGGGGAACCCAGCCGTGGTGACGAGGGCTCTCCTGCAAGAGCGGCGGTATATCAGTATCTCAGAGTACTCTGAGCTCCCGATCGCCTCCTCCTCCGCGAGCGTGGGCTCTGTCCTCGGCAAGCGCTCCTGGGTGGCGACACCCGAGCCCTACCCCCAAGAACCATCGATTCTCCTGAATCGACGGGAGGCGGGGGGAGGACCCAGATTTTGCCACGTGCTCAACAGATTCCTATAGGGGGACGCACGATGACATAAACATCAAAACTCGGAGGTCCGCGCGGAGTTCTCGGATCCGCGCTGGACCCCCCTCTCTCGCGCGCGGAACGCGCCAGGGGCGGCGCAGGAGGCGCCGCCAGTGGTCTCCAGCGCCGATCCGAGGAATCCGCGCGGACCTCCGAGTTTGCATGTTTATGTTATTGTTCGTCCCCCGATCCTAACCCTATCCCCGCCGACCATCGAGCTGCCTGAGCCGCTGATCGGCGAGGGAAATGGGGAAGCCACAACGCTGCGAACTCCCCAGACCTCTCCCGGGATGCGTTCTGACCAGGATTTCGAGGAGGATACAGCGGTGGCGACGAGGGCCTCCCAGGAGGCCCCAAAAACGGGAAAACGACCGAAGGTTAGAGGTACGGGAAACTGTTTCTTCTCTGAGTTGATCGGCGACCCCCAGCAGTCTGGACCCATTCCCCGGGACCAGTTCGGTTCTTCGTCCCGAGTCGTTCTTCGACGGTCCCAAGGACCAATTGATAGGGGCCTCCAGAGGCTGAACATAGCAACAACAACAACAACAACAACAACAAAAACAACAACAACAACAAGAACAACTACAACAAAACTCCGTCGTAATTCTTTCATTGCCCGAGGGGGTCTGGGATCGAGCTGCCGGATCGGCGAGGACGGGGCTCGGAATTGTCGCCGCCGAGCTCCGGGCTGCGCGAGGGGGCCGCGCCGCCGCGGCCGAGGCACACGCCGCCCCCAGGCGCCGGACGCGCGTCGTCCAGGAGCAGGTCGCCGAGGACGGAGCGAAGGAACTGGAGGGCCCCGTCCAGCTTCGAGTGCACCTTCACGGGGGGCTTCTTGGGCCGCCTCCTCCTCCTCCTCCTCCTCCTCCTCCTCCTCCTCCTCCCTCCTCCTCCTCCTCCTCCTCCTCCTTCTCCTCCTCGTCCTCGTCACTCGTCCTCGTCCTAGTCCTCGTCCTCGTCCCTCCTCTCCTCCTCCTCCTCTCATCCTCCTCCTCCTCCTCCTCCTCCTCCTCCTCCTCCTCCTCCTCCTCCTCCTCCTCCTCCTCATACTACTACTACTACTACTACTACTACTACTACTACTACTACTACTACTACTACTACTACTACTACTACTACTACTACTACTACTACTACTACTACTACTACTACTACTACGACTACTACTGCTACTACTAATACTACTACTACTACTACTACTACTACTACTACTACTACTACTACTACCACTACTACTAC